ATATATATGTGTATGTATATAAATACACCTACATATGTATATATAAATATATACATTTTTATATATGCATTTTTTATATATACTTTTTAAAATATATATATATATATATATATAGGTGGGGAAGAATGGAGGCCTGCCACCAAGAACCAGCACATACTTACCAGACATGTATGTACACCAACTTGGAAATGGATCCTTTGGCCCCTGTCAGGGCTTCAGATGAAGGCAGTCCTGGCCAACATCTTGACTGAAACCTTAAAAAAGAAGGATATTTTTGAGGACATTAAGTGAAAGAAGTCAGCCATAAAAATATAAATTCTATATGATTTCACTTACATGAGGTAACTAAAGTAGTCAAGTTCATAGAAACAAAGTAAAATGAAGAAAACAGGCAGTGGTTTAGTGGGTACGGGATTTCAGTTTTTCAAGATGAAAAAGTTCTGGAGATCTGTTATACAACAGTGTGAATATACTTAGCACTACTGAATGATACACTTAAAAATGGTTAAGATGGTAAATTTTTATGTTATGTGGATTTTTTTACCTCAATTAAAAATTTTTACATTATTTTTTAAATTTTTAAAAAATATTTTTTATTTATTTTTGAAAGACAGAGATAGAGCACAAGCAGGGGAGGGGCAGAGAGAGAAGGAGACACAGAATCTGAAGCAGGATCCAGGCTCCAAGCTGTCAGCACAGAGCCCGATGCAGAGCTTGAACCCATGAACCATGAGATCATGACCTGAGCCGAAGTCAGACGCTTAACAGACTGAGCCACTTGGGTGCCCCTACATATTTTTTTCTTAAATCACTGCCTTCATGGAACAACTGATTAGGTATATTTTTTTTAATAAACTCTCTATTGAAGTATAAAATACATTTTTAAAAAGTGAAGAGATCATCCAAATATAACTTAATGGATTTTCAAAGTAAACATACTCCTATAACTAGGGCTTGGGTCAAGAAATAGATTGTAGGATCCCTCTTGGACCCTCCCAGTCCTTACTTCCATGAGGAAGCCACTCTCCTAACTTCTTTTTTCTTTTTAAGTTTATTTGTTTATTTTGAGAGAGAGAGAATATGAGCAAGGGAGGGGCAGAGAGAGAGGGAATCCCAAGCAGGCTTCCTGCTGTCAGCGCAGAGCCCCTTGCAGGGTTCTAGCCCATAAACTGTGAGATCATGACCTGAGTCGAAATCAAGAGTCAGATGCTTAACTGACTGAGCCACCCAGGTGCCCCTCCTAACTTCTTACACTATGGATTAGTTTTGCCAATTTTTCGCTTTATATAAATGGAATGCTATAGTATGGAGTCTTTTGTGTGTGGTTTCTTTCATTCAGCACTATGTTTGTTAAATTCATCCATATTGTGTATAGTAAGTAATTTGTTTTCATTTCTGTATTCTATTGGTTAAATATATTTATGCCATAATATGACAGTTTATTTATCTTCTCTACTGCTGAAGGACAATTGGGCAGTTTCCAATTTGAGGCAACTGTGAATAATAATGTTATAAATGGCCTAGGAATCTAGTACCAGTCTCTGCGTGAGCATACATACACATTCCTGTTCGGTATACACCAGAGGGGTGCTGATAAGTGTTTATCAACCAGCTCACTGAGGGAGAAAACACCTTTATGTGTAGCATTTGTTGATTTCTATGGTGTAAGTACTCCCACCACATCCTGTTTCAAGCTACCAACTTGATGTCACTGAATGCAGAATTGGGAAGATCTACAGAATCTGCTCTTACAAGCTAGTGGGAACCAGTTTCAGCACTGTGTATGCCTGGGAGATCTGCTGATGCCAAAACAGAATTAGACATGCAAGAGACTTAACTAGGGAAAATGTCTGAGCGGGATAAAAAGGAAGGAAAGCGGAAAAGGAAAGGAGAAGATTCAAACTGAATCTTCTGACAGCTGTGAAGGAAAGGGGGAAGGAAAGATTGGTTAAGAAGAGTCTCAGACTGTAGTAGTTCTGAGGAAGTCTTGTCCAGGCCACAGGGGAGTGCTGGGGTCAAAGTTTCCCTTTGGACTAGCCCTGCCTTCCTCCAGAATGGGCCTGCATCAGCACAGATGCAGTGGAGGAGCCAGAGGGGCAGCAACTGGGCTTCCAGTCAGTTACACTGCTCACAACAAGAGATGTAAGCAGTGCATTTTCATGGCCGTGATACCTGGCAATATGTCACCACCTCCCTGGAGATGAGCAGGACAGCTTCTCAATCAGTATCCTCTCTAGATGTCTTTCTTTTCACAAGTTAGCTGTACAACCCTGGCTCAGCTGACTTGGTTGGGAAGTTGGAGTGGCCATTGTAGACTGAATAAGCCCCAGGTTTCTTGGGTAATTCACTGGAAAAGAGAGAGGGATTCAAGAACAGATAGGTGTTCTCATTATTAATTAAAGAAATAGGCGTTAACCATACTATAGCCCCAACTGATAATTTAAGAAAAGTATAGGGACACCTGGGTGGCTCAGTCGGTTAAGCATCCGTCTTTGGCTCAGGTCATGATCTCGTGGTTCGTGGGTTTGAGCCCCACATCAGGCTCTGTGCTGACAGCTAACTCAGAGCCTGGAGCCTTTTTCAGATTCTGTGTCTCCCTCTCTCTCTGACTCTCCCCTATTCATGCTCTCTCTCTCTCTGTCTCTCTCAGAAATAAATAAAACATTTAAAATTAAAAAAAAGAATAGAAAGATGGAGTCAGTCGGAAATAGAGGCTGGAAAAAACCTTATAATCAAGTTACCGTTAGTTATTAACATAAAAACAAGATGGCACTTTAAAAGAAATGTCCACAAGTTCTCTGATATTCTCACTAAAAGTTGGAGTTTAATTCCTCTCTGTAGAATAAAGGCCAGACTTAGTGACTGTCTTCTAACAACTTGAATGTGGTAGAATTATGCTATGTGACTTCTGAGGCTAGGTCATGCTAAGCGAGCATAGCTTCTCCTTCTCCCTCATCCTCTCCCACACCTTCCCCTCTGCCTCTCCTCCCTGTCCCACTTTCTTCACTTGCTTTGGAGGAAACCAGCCATCATGTCATGAGGACACTTGAGCAGCCTGTGGAGAGGCACAGGTGAGGAGGAATGGAGGCCTGCCACCAAGAACCAGCACATACTTACCAGACATGTGTATACACCAACTTGGAAATGGGTCCTTTGGCCCCTGTCAGGGCTTCAGATGACAGCAGTCCTGGCCAACATTTTGACTGAGACCTCACAAAAGACCCTGAGCCAGAAATGCCTTGTCAGGCTATTCCTGAATTTCTGACCCATAAAAACTGTGAGGGTAATAAATTGTTGTAGGCTACTAAACTGGGGGCAGTTTGTCTCACAGAGATAGGTAATTGATACGGGTCACAAGAATTTGGAAGTCCCCCTAAATATACCCAACACCATAACAGAAGATACTACCAGTGAGACAGTACGGCAAACCCATGGAAGATGTCCTTTTCCTTGTTTCCTGCTTTGGCTCATAAAGAGGCTAACTCTCTAAGCTGACTCCCATGAAAGCCCGCCGTGCTGGTGCAGCCAGAAGCACCATCTCTGTTGCTAGTGCTTGCCCAAGGCACTGATATAAACTGCTGCCAGTGTCGTGATCGAGGCTTCTGATGCCCACACAGAGGCTCCTATCTCATGTTGCTGCCAAGCCATTGGCAGCAACTCCCATCATCTGAGAAGCCACTGGCAGCAAAGCAGCCTTCATTACAGGGAAGTGGTTCTTGTGTTCACTTGTACTATGACCATGGCCAGAACGCCAGTATGGAGGAGGGGTAACAGATAACCCTGTGTACAGAACCAGCTCACCAAAAGCATGGCCTATGACTAGCGATATGGCCCAGATTGCAGTGTTTACCAAGTTAAACAGGCTAAAGCCAGATCAGCATATCAAAATGACTCAAGCATCAGGGAGAATTTAGCTATGAAACTCAGTGAGTCAGGGCCAAGGGCATTGATTATTGACAGGGTTCAAAAAGGACAGAAAGAAAGCAGACCTGCAAGAGTCCCAGGCTTGGGGCAGCTTTGAAGTGTATTCCTTTGGCCACTGGTCTGAGCCCCCACCCTCAGGGCTTGTTTAAAGCCATCAGCCCCCTTTCTCTCATATACATTTCAAGGCTATTGCTTCTTTTCCTGTGTGAAGTTCTCATAGAATTGCCAGGGCTCAGACTGTGTCTGATACTGGCAAGGAAGCTTGAACACTCTTGCGTTAATTAGTTTAGGTTCCCCCAGAAGAAAGCCCTGAGGCAAGAATTCAAGGTTAATGTGGGATGTAATCCCAGGAAACAGGTAGCGGAGTAGGAGTAGGGAAGTAAGACAGGGAAGGGAAGGCAATCAGTACAGAATGTGTTATTAAGTCAGTGACTAGTGTGAGCCATTCCATAGGGGAATTCCACAGAGGAAACTCTGGGAAGTGGTATCGGACACATGTCTCAGGGAGGCAAGGGGGCGAGGCTGTTTGCAGGTATTTATATACCAACTCCACTCAGCCATTGTTAATAGCTGCTAGGGGAGAGAGTATTAATTACTGTGGGAACCAACACAGAGATGCAGACACTGGTTGATCAGTTTTTTATTTGCTTATTGGCCATTTAGGTCTCCCCTTCTGTGAAGTGAGCATTTATATCCTTTGCCCACTTTTCTGTTGAGTTGCTAACCTTTTTTGTATGGATTTGTAGGAGTCACTTCTGTCTTCAGATACTAGTCTTTTCTTCATTATATGTGTAACAAATATCACTTTCTTTATAGTATCATCCAATAAATAGTTCTTATCTTTAATGTATATGAATTTATCAATCTTTTCTCAATGGTCTGTGCTTTCTTTTTTTTTTTTTTTTTAAGAGAGAGAGTGTGAGAGAGCACACCCATGAGCCGGAGAGAGGCAGAGGAGAGGGAAAGAGACAATCCTAAACAGGCTCCATGCCCAGAGCCATTGAGGCCCTCAAGGGGCTCAATCTCAGGTCAGCATGATCATGACCTGAGCCTAAGTCAAGAGTCAGATGCTTTACTGACTGAGCTTCCTGGGAGCCATGGTAGTCTATGCTTTTCATGTCTTGTTTAAGAAATTCTTTCGTATCTTGAGGTAACAGAGATGATAATTTACCAGGAAATTTTTTGGCTTTTACAGATAGTCTTTTTTTTAATGTGTATTTATTTTTGAGAGGGAGAGACATAGCATGAGTAGGGGAGGAGGAGGGGCAGAGAGAGAGAGGATAGACACAGAATCTGAAACAGGCTCCAGGCTCCAAGTTATCAGCACAGAGCTGGACATAGAGCTGGTACTTGGGCCTGGCAAGATCATGACCTGAGCTGAAGTCTTTAATCTACTTGGAAAGTATCTATCTTACAGATAGTCTTTAATCTACTTGGAAATGACTTCTATGAAGATGCAATATAGGAATTCAGTATTTAATTTTTATCATGGAAAATCAAACAGGGGCACCTGGGTGGTTCAGTTGGTTGAGCATCCAACTCTTGGTTTCAGTTCAGGATCATGGGATCCAGGGAACATGGATCATGGCTTGGTGCTGCATCAGGCTTGGTGCTGAGCATGGAACCTGCTTAAGATTCTTTCTCAATCTCTCTCTCCCTCTCCACCTCTCTCCCCTGCTCACACACTCTCTGTCTCTAAAAATAAAAATAATAAAAAAGAAAAAGAAAAAAGAAAATGTAGTTTGACATATACAAAAATAGAATAGCACAATTAACACTCAACTTCAACAATTATTAATTTATTTCAGTTGACCACTGCTGTGTAACAGATTACCCCCAAACTTAGCAAATTAAAAGAGTAATAAACATTTATTATCTTGCACAGTTTCTGAGAGTCAGGATTTTGTTTAACTGGGTGGTTCTGTCTCAGGATTTGTCATGAGCCTGTGGTCATGTTGTCTGCCTGGCCTGCAGACATCTAAAGCCTTAGCTGGGGCTAAAGATCTGTTCCAAGGTGACCCTCACCTCTGGCTGGTAAAGTGTTGCCAGGAAGCATCTGTTTCTTGCCACGTGGCCCTTTCCGCAGAGCAGCCGAAGTGTCCTCACAGCAGGGAAGCTGGCTTCCTCTGGAACAAGTGATCCAAAAGAGCGCAAGGTGGAAGTTGCAATGACTTTTATTACACAGCCTTGGAAGACACACAAGATCACTTCCACCACGTTGTATTCATTAGAATCAAGTCACTAAGTCCCACCCACATTAAAGGGGAGAGAAATTAGGTTCCTCTTTTTGAAGGGAGGAATATCAAAGTTAGTGGATTTTTTCAAAAACAGCATATAATCATGGCCAAGCTTGTTTCAGCTATACCTCCATCTCCTCTCCCTTACAAACTGGATTCTTTTGAAGAAAATTCCAGACATCATATTGTTTCATGGACAAATACTTTAGTATGGATTTTTAAAAGATAAGTCTGGAAGAAATGTCATAAACACCATACCATAAGCACACAAAAAGTTAACAATAATTCCTTAATGTCACCAAAGAGATTCAGTCAAAATTCAATAGCATTCAAGTTCCTCTGATTCATTCCTTCTCCCTCTCTCTCCCCTCCCCTTTCCTTTTTTTTTTTTTTTTTTTTTTAACAGTTTATATCAGACATCTCCGTGCCTAACTCCAGATCCCCTCAGGCTCACCTGTCATTTAATCCAGCCATTACTGCCCCGAACAGTTCTGCACAGGCTCCAACCAGCTGCACACAGGTGTAGCCTGGCACCTCTTCAGGGCCTCTCTTTAATGCTGCAGTGTGGAATACTGTAGAAATCTGCTTGGCATGCACAACCCGGAAGTGCCAGGGGCTTAAAACTCTTTGAGGCAAACTTTTACCAATGGAGATGAGAACCAATAACAACCGCTTTCCCTTTCATCCTCAGATCAACAGTCTAAAGACAGAGTATATATAACTTCTCACAAGGTCTGTGGGATTAAGGAATCCCTCTTCATGGTAGCCAACTTGATCATGCCTTCTTGTGTTTCCCTTTATCATTTATTTTCCCTCATTCCTGCCCTCTGAGATCACACTCTTCAATAAAGTATTTGCACATTTTTTTTTTATCAGGTTCTGCTTTTTGGGGCACCAGACTAAGAGTTGATCCCAAACAAGGTCTCACTGATCTATATAGCTTTCATCCTCTCCCACTTCTTTTCCTTTGCAATTTTTTTTTAGTTTATTTATTTGTTTTGAGAGAGAGAGGGACAGAAAAAAAGACATGAGCAGGGGAGGGGCAGAGAGAGAGGAGGACAGAGAATCCCAAGCAGGCTTCTCACTATCACCTCGGAGCCCAGTTTGGGGCTCAAACTCATGAACCATGAGACCATGACCTGAGCTGAAATGGAATGAGACACTTAACAGATTGAGCCATGTCAGTGCCACTCCCTTGCAATTATTTAATTATAATCATGAATCATATTGTTTGTTCTGAGGAGTTTACCACATTCTAGATTTTGCTGACCTCTCTTGCTATGGTGTTTATCATGTTCTCCTGTTCCTTATATTTCTAAAACTGGGAGTTAGATCTAGAAGCTGGATCAGATTTAGGTTTGATATTTTTGGCAAGAATATTTTATGGGTGGTGTTATATAGTCCCCATTGCATCCAATTAGAATACATAATGCCTGTCTCTTTTTGTAATTTTAAAATTGATCAGTAAATTTAGGGGTAGTAATTCTAATCTCCCCATTATAAATTCCCCACTAGTCTTTTGCCTAAGGATTTCAGCAGCCCAAAATAATCATGCCCTAGAGCTGTACTGTTCAATATAATAGCAACTAGCCACATGTAGCTGTTTAAACGTAATGAAAATTGAACAAAATTAGAAATTTAATTCCCCCCAAATAGCCAAAGCAATCCTGAAAAAGAAAAGCAAAGCTGGAGGCATCACAAGTCTGGACTTCAAAGTTTATTACAAAGCTGTAATCATCAAAACAGTATGGTACTAGCACAAAAACAGACACATAGATCAATGGAACAGAAGAGAGAACCCAGAAATGGGCCCACAGATGTATGGCCAACACATCTTTGACAAAGCAGGAAAGAATATCCAATGGAAAAAAGACAGACTCTTTAACAAATGGTGTGTGGAAAACTGGACAGCGACATGCAGAAAAATGAAACTGGTCCACTTTCTTACACCGTACCCAAAAATAAATTCAAAATGGATGAAAGACCTAAAGGTGAGACATGAAGCCATCGAAATCCTAGAGGAGAATAAGGCAACAACCTCTTTGACCTCAGCCATAGCAACTTCTTACTAAACATGTCTCTGGAGACAAGGGAAACAAGAGCAAATATGAACTATTCGGACCTCATCAAGATAAAATCTGCACAGCAAGGGAAATATTTGCATATGGCATATCTGATAAAGGGTTAGTATCCAAAATTTCTAAAGAACTTATCAAACTCAACACCCAAAAAACAAATAATCCAGTGAGGAAATGGGCAGAAGACATGAATAGACACTTTTCCAAAGAAGACATCCAGATGGCTGACACATGAAAAGATGCTTGACATCACTCATCATTAGGGAAATACAAACCAAAACCACAATGAGATACCACCTCACAGCTGTTAGAATGGCTAAAACTAGCAATACAAGAAACAGCACGTGTTATTGAGGATGCAGAGAAAGGGGAACCCTCTTGCACTGTTGGTGGGAATACAAACTGGTGCAGCCACTCTGGAGAACAGGATGGTGAACTTTTCTTTTTAAGTTTATATATTTATTTTTGAGAGAGAAAGAATGAGTCTGGGAGGGGCAGAGAGAGAGGGAAAGCGAGAGAATCCCAAGCTGGCTCCACATTGACAGTATGGGGCTCAAACCCACGAACCATGAGATCTTGACCTGAACTGAAGTCAGGCGCTTAACCGACTGAGCCATCCAGGCGCCCCTCTAGTATTTCACTTTAATCTATTATTCTTTATATGTGTATCAGCTGTAATTGTTCTATAAAGAAAACGTTCCCTTGTTGTCTGCTTAGTTACTCTGAGGTGTAGTTCTTACGGTAAAAGTGTGGTAAGTGCTTATTTGCCTTTGTGCACCAGTATTCAGGATAATGAAATGATTCCCTGGCATCCTCCAAAGTTGACCAAAGCATTTTGTTTTTATTGTTCTGAATGTCGTCGTAGATTCACAACAACATATTTGATGCCTTTCAGTTCATTGTAGTTACTATTCTTTATGATGTTCAAATTTTCCCATATGCTGATGGTTGTTTCCTACAGTAGTGTTCTACAGGTTCTATAGGCATGAGTGGGGAGGGGCAGAGAGAAGGGGAAAGCCTCCCAACCATATTCCACGCTGTCAGTGCAGAGCCCAACGCAGCGCTGGATCCTGAGAACCATGAGATCATGACCAGAGCTGAAATCATAAGTCAGACACTTAACCAACTGAGGCACTCAGACACCCCAGAATCTTGGTTTTTAGTGTCATCAATATGAGTACATGTACTCATTTTCTTTGTCCTATAAAACCTATAATAATTTCTCATTCAGCTGTTCCTGTGTATTTATTGTTAAATATCTTGAATATCACCCCTTAACCTGTGACCTTCAAATTCTGTGATTTAATTGTTGTCTGCCTGCATTTCTTTTCTTTTTTTTTTATTTTTTACAAATAGTTTATTGTCAAATTAGTTTCCACATAACACTCAGTGCTCATCCCCACAAGTGTACTCCTCCATGCCCATCCCTCCTCCCCCCCACATCCATCAGTCCTCAGTTTTTGTCAGCATTCAAGAGTCTCTCATGGTTTGCCTCTCTCCCTTTCCCCCACCATTTCCCCCCTTCTTCTCCCCCATGGTCCTCCGTCAAGTTCCTCCTAATCCTCCTATACGTGCAAACATATGATATTTGTCCTTCTCTGCCTGACTTATTTCGCTCAGCATAACACCCTCAAGGTCCATCCATGTTGCTACACATGTCTGCTTGCATTTCCACATTTGAGGAAGCTGCTTTTCTCCCACCACCCATGATTTCATGAACCTGTCAGTCAAGAAACTTGGCTTCTGCGGGAGTGGGAATGAATCCCAGGCCATGAGGGAGTTAACACCCAGTGGGTGTACTTGGGCCAGTGCAAGGTAAGAGACAGGAAGGAACCAGCAAATAATCTTTCTCTTTCACCCCACAGTGGGCCATTTCAAAACATGGTGGGTTTGCATAACTTTTTGAGAAGTCTCTTCTGTAACTAAGCAACCAAGTATGGTTTCTTGAAGCTACCAGGAGCTCAATAATATACCATCTTGCATTGCTTTTCTTCCTTCCCCTTGACTCTAACTTTTGCTCTAGGATAGCACCTCCCATTAATAACCTACCAAGAAATCTTTGCCTTTTGCTCTGTTCTTTAGGAAATGCAGGCAAAGACAATTTTCTGGGATCTTCTCCTTCAGAAAGGTAAAGAGCAGTGTTAGGGAATGTATGTATTTAATAAGCATTCTGAGTCTTATGATCAGACAAGTATGGCTGACACTACCTTAAAGCATCCTCGGGCTTCAGATCTCACATCAACAGGAAATAAGCTGCACACATTATATAGAATTCAGAAGAGAAATCCATCCCAGGAACCCTTTAGATGTGGCCATGGAGGACAATGAACAAGGGAGATGAGCAGAGAGTAGCCTGGAAGCAGTGAGGTAGACTGAGCAAGGCAGTTGTCTGCTGCCAAAGCACAGAGCACTCACTGCTTTTGTCTTGCAGGGGAGAAGTGTGTGCTTGGAACTGGTGACTACTTCTTGATGTTCTCTCTTTCTTTCCTGCTCCAAATGTGAGGGTTTTTGTTTTTGTTTTTGTTTTTGTTTTTTATGAGGTTCTTTCATCCCTCTTCCAACAATATGTGTGTTTCTTTGTGAGTGTTCTTTGTATGTTGCTGGATCCTGGAGAGCCACATCCAGCCTTAACTTAGAAGAGGGCAGCTAGCTCACAGCTGAAGGAACCCCCCCTTGCACACACACACCTTCTTGCAGCAGCAGGGCCTGACTTGAGCCATTTCTGTTTGGGGAGGGGATGTTTTCATTTCTGTGTCCCCAGCAGGCAAAGACTTGACTGCAAGTAGTTTATTTAGGAGAAAAAAAGAAAAGACAGGTAGGAGAGTGAGAAAGGGAGACAGAGAAAGTAAGGCAACCAATATAGGGTGCATTTTCAAGCCAGTTACCATTGTGTACAATGGGGCCTTAAGCCCATGGGAAACTCTGGGAGCCAGTACAGAACATGCATCCTAGTGTTACTCCACTACAAGGAGGCAGGGAGCCGGGCTGTTACACATCGACTCCCATCAGTCATTGATTGAGAGCAGCTCCCAGGGAGGAAGAAATATTAATTCCTCTGCACTTCTGGCCTGCTGTGTAAGTGACAAAGACAGAGTAAGGAATAATCAGAGAAAGCCATTATGCAAAGAAGTGCACGCGCTGGCAGCTGGCAACCAGGCCAGGATGCCCAAAAGTGGTAAGGACAAGGGGATTTGGGCAAGGCAGTGACAGCATCTGCTGTGAGAACGCAGAGGATTTCTCACCGCTTATTAGCTAGCTTCGTTACCTTACATGGGGACATTCATTTAAATTGTAAGCACATGGGGTGTCTGGGTGGCTCAGTTGGTTAAGCATCCGACTTTTTTTTTTTTTTTATGTTTTATTTATTTCTGAGAGAGAGAGAGCGTGAGCAGGGAGGGTCATAGGGAGACAGAGATACAGAATCTGAAACAGGCTCGAGGCTCTGAGCTAGCTGTCAGCACAGAGCCTGACGCGGGGTTCGAACCCACGAACCGTGAGATCATG